GGTTGAGAAGAGCGCGGTGCTGTATGCCCTGATCCTTCAATCCGTCAACAACGACATTTTCCAGCATATCAAGGACTTGGTGGAGCTGGATGACTTCGGACCGAAGGCGTGGAAGGTACTACGTGACATTACTCAGCCCAACACGCTGCCAATGGTGATTGTGTTGGAGAACAAATTGGCTGCCCTCTCCATGTGGCCGGGGGACGATGTGAAGCCGGTCCTTGACAAGACCAAGGGCACTTATGCGAGGATGGCAGCGGCGGGTAGCAAGGTGTCGCAGATGCAGCAGCGCACCAAGATCATCTCTATATTAGACAACTTATGGCACAACCTGATTCCTACCCTTACCTCTCAGTAGGACCAGTGGACACTAGAGTGGCTACAACAACAGATTCTGCTAAAAGACTTTCGCAGGCACCACATGGGAGGTGGTGCTGCCAACAAGAGTGTTGAGGGGTATGGAGCTGCAGGAGGCAGCAGAGGAAGAGAGGGTGGGAGAGGCCGAGGCCGTGGGAGAGGCTTTGGCAGAGGGAGAGGCCGAGGTGACTACAATGAGGGACATGCGAGCTCTGGTGGCAGGGGGAGCACCCGAATGGAGGGTGCATGTTGGTATTGCAAGAAGGCTGGACACCCAAGATTGAAGTGTTTCAGCTGGCCTGAGGGATGGGCGCCCCCAGGCATGAAGCCGCCAAGTGGTGAACGCGCACGAGGTGGCGCTGTGCAAGGTTCAAGTACACAAAGTGAAGGTGCACATGGTAATGCCTCCCCTGGGATGTTCCTCATGGTTGAGGATGTGCAAGGGAGTGGGGGTGATGTGGGTTCAGTTGGGAAGGTTGTCATGCACCCCCTCACTCACTGGGTGATAGATTCAGTTTGCACAAGTCACATGACCCCACAGGCAGATTTGCTTGACGAGGTAAAATCCCCTGGGAAGATCAAGTTTGTGGCCGTTGCTTCAGGTGCTTTGCTCCCTCTGATTGGTGTTGGTAATGCCAAGGTGATAGGAGCCAATGGGGAGCTTGTGGGGCTGGGGAATGTGCTGCTGGTTGAGGGTTTATCTGCCAACCTCCTTTCTTTGCGAAGGTTGTAAAAGAGCAAGGCTGAAGTGACCTTTGGCCCAACCAGCTGACCTGCGAAGCTTGGGAAGTTGCTGGAGTGGAACCTAGAGGAGAAGAGCAGCTGCATCAAGGACCTCTAGCAACTGCCAATCATCCCTTGGAATGGAAAACCCCCAGCAACGGCAGCGGTAGCAGCAACAGCTAAGGCAACTTCAGGAGGAGCAAAGACTGCACCAATTGATGAGGCCCTGAATGCAGTCAAGAAGGTGCAGCAGCCACAGCAACCACATGGTGAGGTGCTTGCTGGTGTGGATGGGACAACTACTTTGGCAAAGGCTTCATCTGGGAGTGGTGAGGCCGATTGGGGGATATGGAATGAGAGGCTATGCCATGTGAACTTTCCTATGCTGCAGAAGTTGGTGAAAAATGGGAGCTTGAAGGGGTTGGAGGTGAAAGGGGCAGAAAGGGAGATTGGGAACTGTCTTACATGCCTTGCGACTAAGTTCACAAAGTTTCCCAACATCAACAGCACAAGGCCAGCCAAGGCCCCACTTGCGCTTGTGCACATGGATGTGGTGGGCCCTACGAGGTCCCCTTCTCTCAGGAAGCCGCTACTTCTTGACCATCGTGGATGACCATATGCGTGCGGTGTGGGTGTACCCTTTAAAGACTAATGAGGAGGTGGCAGCGACTATTTTGAAGAAGTGGATGCCGAGAGCTCAAAGGGAGAGCAAAAACAAGGTGAAGGTGATCCGCACCGACAATCGGGGAGAGTTCATTGGCGCTGATTCTAAGGGGGAGCTGAAGTGAAAGGGGATCTAGCATTAGCTCACAGTGCCATACAACCCTCACCAGAATGGCGTGGCTGAGCGGTTCAACCGGACCCTGCAAGAAGGTCCATGCAATCTCCTTGGACATGAAGGGCAACCGGATCCATTTTGGGTGACTGCACTGCGGCAGGTCGCCCTTGTGAAGAACGGGGTGCTGGCGACTGTGGGGGACAAGCAGTGAGTTCCCTACACCAAGTGGTATGGGAGTGAACCTATAACATGCTGAGAGCCTATGGCTGCATGGTGGTGTTCCATGTGCCTAAGGAGGAAAGGGGAAAGCTTGAAGTATCTGGGAGATGGGGCGTGCATTTGGGGATCTTTGAGGATCATAAGGGCTGGCTGCTATGGGACTTGACCAGCTAGCAGCTGAATGTGTCAAGGGATGTTAAGTTCCTTGAGTCCTTGTACTATAAGGAGTGGAAGCAGCAGCAGCAAAAGCTTCCAACTACACCACTCAATGTTGAGGCCGGTGAGGTACAGCGGCCGTCAAGGCAGGTGGATATCTTTGTGTCAAAGGAGGAGATCTCTGGGGTGACTGAGGATGGGCAAGAACCTGAGGTGGAGCAGAAGCAGTAGTAACACCAGCAGCAGTAGTAACACCAGCAGCAGCACCAGCGGCAGCCGCAGCAACAGCATAAGATGAGTGTTGGAAGTGAATGAAGCTTGCTGGAGGTTGCATATATGAGCTGAGGCATGTAGGATGATGGTTGGTAGCCAGAGGGGGAGTTTGTTCTGTATCATTTGCATTCACATCTGTCTGGCTCCCATCATATCTTTCTACCATACATGCGTGGTGTGAGCGTGTGCAAGAATTTGTGTTTTGGTGTTGCTTGAATAACGTGAGTGCGTGTGAATTTTCTTTTGTCTGAGCAGTTATCTGAAATGGCTTTTCTGCCCAATAACTTTCCGACGAACCAAGGATCGCTTCAATCGGACCACGAACGATAAATTTACGAACGGTTGAAGTCCGTATGCTTTTTATAGTTGGTTGCGGCGACTTTGGAAATGTGGAGTGACTTCATATGGGGTATAGAATTTTGGAGGTTGGGAAAATTCATCACTCTACTGTAGATGATGCCAAGTGGTTGGGAGAAGCCAAACCGGGTTGGCAAGTGTGGCCAAGTTGAGGTGAGGTGGATTTGAAAGGTTGGGAAGATGACAAGAGTCAAAGGTGGATTACTATAAGGAGGGATTTTGTAAGCTTATGCGGTTTGGTTGGTTTGAGGCTCCCTTGGATCCTTCCCTCTCATCCACCTGGTTTCTAGCAACTCTAATTCTCTTGTGTGGTTTGTGTTGAACTATTTCTCTAGTGATTGAGTAAAGATTCAGCTCTAGCATACCCCTCGGTGCACCGAGGGAGCATAAGTACAGTTATACTTCACCTTTTGATACGATTCAAATAGGGAATTGTAGCCACGGTCTAGGGCTACACCATATCCGAAATTGGTGAAGTTTTAACTGGCGAACCTTTTGTCGGCGGCGTTTCTTGTTGTGAACTCGACTTTTCTGTTTAGAAACTTTAGTCAACGATTTTGACATATTTCGGCCTCAGTCTACATAGACCCTGTCTTTGATCCTAACACGCACGGCGATGGCACTCTCCCTCGCCCTTCCTCATTTGTCTCAAGAGGTCCTTGTAGTGATAATAGGCAAGGTACATGCAGCGCATGGAAGGGCCTACAAGTCTACACATGCAGAATAGGACAAGCATTCTAGTCACACAGGCAAAGAACATGCGGTCTTAGCACCCTATCGTGGTGCTGCTGCTGCCCATTCAGCTCACCTGGCGGCATTCCACAACGAAGGCCAGGCACACGTGGAGGACACAGTATGGTGCGAAGAGAGCGACTTTGCTTTTTTTTTTTTTTCAGTGATCTGGTGATTAATTTCATTCGACGTTACCTTGAGCGCAAGTATGGCTCTTGAGATTTGGTTTCGGATTCCCAGAGGCTTGGTTCCCAAGGATCCGCCAACGACCATCACAGCAGTGACAGCTGATGTGGCGATAATCCATTGGTATCATCCCACGTGGACGTCTACGTTGCCACCTCTCCCGAGAAGTCTCTCCGATCGGTGCTCAACAGACTGTTCCGCTCGCACCTGCCCGATTGCTGTTTGCCATGCGATACATGCCAGGCGCCGCGAGGAACCGCGGAGCCTCTGAGTGAGGCAGTGCGCATGCATTATGGAGGCAACGATGGCGTGGAAGGCAGTGAGGAAAGTGATGAGTCGGCGGTGCGTGGGACGCTGGTGGTGCGGTTCATAGTGGTGGGGCAGGTGGTGTGTCTATCACCCGACTGCACCGTGCAGCACACGCAGCTGAAGCCAGGCGTGACCATCAAGGTGCTTCCTGTGAAGGCAGTGCGTGGAGAGGGCAAGAGAACAAGCAAGGACGGAGGTCAAGATGGTGTGAGTGCTTCAGCTCCTCCGCCTGCTACGGACGTGAGTCTGGCTTTTCTATCTTCTTCTCCCGCCATCGCCCTACTTTCTGCTGCGGTTCCTGCTGTAGCTACCACTCCTCTTCCTCCTCCCGTTGCTCTCTCTGCTGCTACACCCGCTGCTGCTACACCCGCTTCTGCTACACCCGCTGCTGCTGCACCCGCTGCTGCTGCACCTGTTATTACTGCACCTGCTGCTGTTGCATCTGCTGCTGCTACACGTGCCGCTGCGGGGACGAGGTGACGCGGGATCGACTACAGCAATTGGGACCACATAGGCTCTAGCCGCGACGAGGGCGAGCAGGACGACGAGGAGCGTGCGCCGCGGCACAGAGACACACCAGGGAGCGGTGCTGGAAGAAAGTCAATGCCCTTGAATCATGCCGGGACCGGTGGGCCAGGCCTATCGGAACTGAAGGAGGCAATTTGGCGCGGTCATGAGGAGATGATGAGGCGGTATGGGCCCCCGCAGCTGCCGATTGGAGCCCACAAGGCATCTGCAGCGAAAGCCAGGGGTTCAGCGAGAGTGGGCGGTGAGCAAGTAGCAGGGACGCGCCACCTGGTGTGTCGGGAGGACATGGTTCACTACTTGGAAGTGAGGGGCGGGTGATCTGAAGGAGTGCGACTGCTGCTTCGACCGCGCCCTTAGCTTGGGCGACGAGCGCGCTGTCACCATGCAGAGCCTCACGTTCCTCCGATCCCGCCTGCACAAGCAGCTGCCCGACGCCACCCCCTTGGCGCCGCGGCGCAGTAGAGTGAGCGAAGGCATGGTGAAGTTCTCGGCGCGCGTGCAGGCGTTCGGGGAGCGGGGCGAGGGGGCATCGCATGGGACTCACTTCTCGTGCAGGTGTGCTCTGGCTCCGTTTGTATGTGTGGAATCCGTGCTGCTCGACTGGATGGCTGAGCCGCGTGTGGGCGTGCTCATGGACCTGAAATGCATCCGCTGTCGCTTGCCCGCCATTCTTACCACTTCACCTTGTGTTGGGGATTCCCCTGCTGCGTCTCTTTCTGTTGCATCTACTGCTGTTGCCATCCCTTATGCTGCTGCAGCGTGGTCCCGCTGCTGGCGCTGCAGCAGCTGCTGGGCGGCCTACCGCCACGCTCTCATCTTTGTTGCCTTCCTCGTGCTTGTGGCGAGGTGGCCGCGCATTGACACCATGTGGAAGGCTGACGTGGATATATACGACGCGGTCTACCTGGCTCGAGCAAGCCAGCAGGGGACGGGCTGGCAGCAGGAGAATGACCGTGTTACTTCCGTGCTGGTGCTGGTGCTGGGGGTGAAGGAGCGTGCTGACCTGCAGGAAGGGTTTGGGTTCTTCGTGCAGCACGTGCTGTCAGGCGGGCTTGAGAAGGCGCATGCAGAGAGGGGGACGAGGGGAGGTGGGGAGCAGGCTGCTGAGAAAGCGCGAGGGGAGGGAAAGGGAGGAAGCGGGAAGTGTTATAGTCTAGAATCCACTTAGGGGTCGCGAATGCCCATGAAACCACCTAAGCAGAATCTAATGACCTTGAACCGCCTCTGTTCAAAACACCGTCACGATCAGCTCCAATAACATACAAAGCTAAAAAAAAAGATAGAAGTTAGCTTCAGGTGTCTTGCTTTCGAACGATATATGGCTTGCTTTCATCAGAAGTGTATGCGCTACGCAGTGAACGATAACGTAAGCTCGGCTGAAAACGTGTAGTTTCATTGATGCAAGGAAGAGGTGAGTACAACATTGCCTAGGGGACTCTTAAGGGGTTGGGACCATCCTGGGAATGCAGAGAAGGTTGAGTCCTAGGGGAGAAAGGCTAGAGAAGGATGGGAAACGTCCTAGCTGGGTCAGCAAAGCCAACCACACTTGGATGTTCAGAACTGTACCCAAGGCTACCAATAGTGAGTCAAGCCAACCATGAGTTAGCTTGTCTTCCCACTTGCACCCTTTTGCAAGCTGCTTCCAGGAAGACCACACTTCTCAAAAGGAGGGTGGTAGAGTCCCACTTGACCACCTGTACTTCTTGTCTCATTCTCTGTCCCTGCACCATTGGCATGACAACAATGAAAGGGTGGCAAGGGAAATCCTGCCAACAGGGCACCATGACTACGGAACAGTAACTTTCGACAGTTGTCACGTGCTGATCCGATGCTGAGTTGTCCTGAAACTCGGTGACCACCTGCACAACACGGCAAAGGACTCCCACACCGATTTTCAGACCAATTAGAGCTTGGTAGATGAGTCAGCAGCCGAAATGGTGAACTCGGGTGTTACCAAAAATGAGTAACACTTCCGGGATGCCATAAGTCTTGAAACAAAAAATGTTGCCATGCCTTGTAAACTGCTAAAAAAAACTCTGAAGCTTTGAGGGTTTGAAGAACACATGTTGATGCACCTCCCCACACAATTCCAGAAACTGAGCAGGCTTGTAGGCTGAATGGGAGTGCGATGACCATGCCACTATAGTGCTTTGGCACAACAACAAGAAGGGTGTGGGAAGTGTGGGGCAGATGGGGCAGATGGGTCTGATAGGGGCAGATGGGTCAGATGTTGCAGACGGGGCAGATGGGGCAGATGAGGCATGCAATGGAGGTGGTGAGGCAGCGGGTGGAGAGCGGCGAGTGCATGGGGCCGGAGGACTATGCGCGCATCATGGACGAGCTGGGCATGGACCTGGGCGACCTGCTGGGAGAGATGGTGGCAGGGAGAGCACGGATGGGCAATGGAGGAAGAACCTGAAGGGGCCTGTGTGGGAGAGGTATGTGGATGGCATGACTTGGATTCTAGAGCATTGTGGGGGGGAAGGGAGGGAGTTCCGGTGCAGCCATTGCGGTGAGAAGGGCAGCAGCAGCAGCAAAAGTAGCCATGGCCGCAGCAGGGCAGAAGGCAATAATATTCCCAGGGGCATGTATGTGAGTGACGTGGATGCGAGTGACTTGGCCGTGGCAGTGGCGTCAGTGTTCTCACGGGCAGAGCACCGCAAGCTGGGCGCCATGTTCTTCGGGGGGTCTACGCGTGCCAGCAGCACCCTGCAGGATGCAGCCATTGAGGCGGCCAGGGAGAAACTGAGGAAGCGAGGGCTGGCGACAGGGGTGAAGGAGGGAGGGGCAGTATCTCGAGCCAGCACTTCTCCTGGCAGCAGCGCTTCTGTCGCCAGCAGTGCGCTGCGTGACGCTGGCAGCGGAGCGTTGGACTGGGGCCGTGAGCCGGTCAACACAGACCCCACTATTGGCCTCCTCACCTACCGGGTTGCCCGCATCTTGCAGTGGCTTCGGATCTACGGCTCAGATTTTATCTCAGCCAAGATGTGCTTCAAAGAAAACTCACAAGGTAAGGTCCTGCCCATGCGCCACCCGCTTCGGGAACTTCCAAGCCTGCTGCTCCGGCTCGGCACTGTTCTCCCCCCTTTGGATGGAAGCAGCCCCCATGCAGAATGGGAGGAGTGGCCTGAGGGGGACGAAGCTGCTGTGATATTTCCCGACGACTCCAATGCCAGATGTTTTGGGCTGGGCAAGGTGGATGGCATGCAGGGTAGCAGGAACGGTGGGTGTGTGACAACTCAGTATGGAAGCGTCCAACAGTCTCCCACGAGACAAGTGTCGTCAGCGCGAAGCAGGGAGTGCCGTCCAATCGTGCGTTGCAGGGCAGATGCGGACTTGCTGGTGGAGTTCAGCAGTTTGTTGTTGGAGGCACCCGCATGCGCCCACTGCAGCCGCTGCATCCGCACCTACATCTCATACGTCCCCTTCGTCACCTTCATCGCCAACTTCGCCTATCGCCCCGCCACTGTCCTCCTCGACTGCTTTCTCTCCATCTTCCAGCCCCACTCGCAGCAGTTTGAAAACCTTCTCGCCTGCGTGGGCCTGGAAGATCCGCCTGACGGCCCTTGTGGCAATCGGAGAAGTAGCAGCAGCAGCGTGCAGGCGCTACGGGAACGGGCAGAGCAGGTGCCAGTCGCCTTGCTGCTCAGCCTGGCGCTGCTCTGCGCCACGCCTCTCCTGCAGTAGAGGGGGGTGGAATTCGAGGGGTGGAGGGGGGAGCTGAGGGGCCAAAGAGAAAGCAGGGGGAAGGAAGGCAGGCAGTGGAGCCTGTGGGAAGGGCAAGGAGGGCGGGGAGGGTGAAGGGGATTGCGGGGTTGTGTTGGAGGAGTTGCAATCCTGGTCCATGGTGGCAACACTGCCCGTTGCTGGTGTCGGGGGTGGCGGGGTGGCGTGCAGTGGCAGTGAGGCGGAGGAGCGTGGTGCGAGTGCATGCAAGGACGCAATGGCGGAGATCTATGAGCGCTCTCTGCTTCACGGGGATGGGATTCCCACTGCATGTGGCAGCAGCAGCAGCAGCATCCATAGCAATCAGAAGAGCAAGAAGGGGGAGGAGGCGGCCTATATGAGGGCATGGCCGTGGGGAGTGAATCTGGTGGCATGTCTGCGAGAGATGCTGCTGGGGGAGCCGTGTTACCGCCCTGCCTCCCGTGCTGCTCCAACCACCACTGCTGCTGCTTGTGGGGGGCATGTGTGCGCTGTTGTGGGGAGCGGGAAGATTGAGGGTGGTGGTGTGAAGCCGAAGAACTGTTCTGCATGTGGCAAGGTGGCGTATTGCAGCAGAGAGTGCCAAAAGGCGCACCGGCCCTCCCACAAGCTCACATGCTCCGGCAGGACCAGCACCAAGAAGAGTGGGACAACCAGTGGCAAGGCGGGTGACAAGGTGAGTGGCACGGTGAGTGGCACAGTGAGAGACAGGGTGAGTGGCATGGTGAGAGGCACGGTGAGTGGCACGGTGAGAGGCACGGTGAGTGGCATTGTGAGTGGCATTGTTAGTGGCATTGTGAGTGGCAAGGTGAGTGGCAAGGTGAGTGGCACGGTGAGTGGCACGGTGAGAGGCACGGTGAGTGGCACGGTGAGTGGCACGGTAAGTGGCACGGTGAGAGGCACGGTGAGTGGCATTGTGAGTGGCATTGTTAGTGGAATTGTGAGTGGCACGGTCAGTGGCAGGATGGGGATGAAGGCGACAGAGAGAGTGGAAGAAAGGGTGGTGAGAGGGTGGTGAGAAGGTGGTGAGAGGGTAGGGATGTGATCCACGTGATTAGTGACGCCCCTTAAGGTGCTTGCCAAGTCTGCCAAGCTGAAGGGTACCATGGGTGAGATGCAACTGAAGGGTACCATGGATGCAATTGAAGGGTACCATGGGTGAGATGCAACTGAAGGGTACCATGGGTGAGATGCAGCTGAAGGGTACCATGGGTGAGATGCAGCTGAAGGGTACCATGGGTGAGATGCAACTGAAGGGTACCATGGGTGAGATGCAACTAGGGACGACATGTAGGGCTGCTGCGGCTTGGATCTTTGCTTAACGTCATTGTTGTTGTTCAGGCTCTGTTGTTAAATTGCTGTCACTGGTCCTGCATTTCCTGCAAGGGAATCAGCTGGTATGTCTGTGTCTTGGCAAGTCTTGGCACTGACTTGCGTGGCTGGCAACTGATAGAAATCGGCCCCTCTACCTTCTAGTGAGGCTTATAACGACTGTCCATCTCTTCTCCGTCCATCTTTCCCATCCTTCCCAGTCGCCTGCATTGCCTCCTGTTCCTGTATCCCTCCCCTGCCCTAGCCTGTTCACAATTTCACCTTTTCTCTACATGCGTACCCCTCATTTACTCACCCCCGCTCTTGCTCTGGACAGGTGTACTGCACTAATTGATTCGGTACTCATGCCGGGCCTTCACTCATTCATCTATTCATGCTGGGATGGGTGCCATGCCATTCCCATGGGCCATCACCATTAGTATCCACTGTCCTCTGCTGTGTCTAGCTGTCTACCCTGATTGGAGATGCAAAACGAGAGTCTAATATAGTAAGGTAGATCCAATTTGAAAATGTGTTCCAATAAAGGAAAATGAGAACGATTGTGGGCCGATAAAACACTGTTCCAAACATCTTTCCGCTGACTGAAACTCAAGTGGCCCTCCAAAAAAATTCAGGTCGGCCTTGCGGCTGCCTCCCCTCTCCCCTTGGTTGCCCTTCTTCTCACGGGCGGTCGCCCGTGCAATCTTCGCTCCGCTCCCATCGCTTCCGGGCTCTCGTTATCAGACCAAATCAGTCTGATGGTCTGCTGTTCAGACCCGCTGTTATGCTTTCATTAGATTTTCTGGACACTGCATTTTGTTTTGTCTGATCTATAAGATTAGTGATATAAGTTCGTCTGAACTTGAAGAGCAAGTGTTATACTTACCGTATCACCCCGGATAGTAGCGCCGTCCGAGGCGCCGGCACTTCTATCTGGAGCCATGCGCTTATGGCCGGCCCTCAAGTATAAGCGCACCCCTTAGAATCCCTGTACTTATTATAAGTGCATCTCTTCTCCCCAAAGGGTAATCTTTTCACTATTCTTTTACTAGACATTATTTCGGCTACAATAGGAAATCTACACATGCCTCATCCAATATTCTCACTACACATCAAGAAGTTTTACATTCCTAGCTAGAATCTAATCCTCGTCTGACTCTGGCTCCTCGCAGTTGTTGCCAAAGGATCCATTGGCGATGATCTCGTCATCGACGTCGACCTCGTGTGTCAGCTGGCTCCGCCTGTGCGCCATGGCGAGGCCGTCCTTACTGCCGTCAAGTGCGTTGCTGATGCCATAGGTGAGGAAGGCCTTCTTGATAAGCTAAGGTGGCACGGCCCTCCAGGCCCGTGAGATCCACCTGAGCACCACCGCAGGGGGCGGCTTCTTGATGTTCCCTGCACCACATGTGAGAGAAAGGGAGATGTCGTTAAGACATACGGGGGGAATTCAAGCCGCTCTCAAACAATCAACGGTGGGTGTCTTACCCGCAGCCGTCAGCTGCTCCTGGCCCTCCTCTTCGAACCAGCTCTGGTACTGCTTGCAGATGGAGGCCTTGAAGGACTTGTAGATTGAGATATCGAGGGGCTGTACCTCCGCCGTACAGCCTGACGGGATCACCGCCGGCACGATGTCCAGGTCGGCGGACTTCTTCTTCAAGGCGTCCGTAAGGTGCCCGCGGTAAGAATTCAGAATGACCATGGCGCTCCTCTCTTGCCTACCGAACCGGGGCCGGGTGAAGGGCATGATGCACTCGTCGAGCCAGCGCATGACGCCATCGGCGTCCATCCAGCCATTCGGGTGGACTACCACGACCACATCTGCCATACCAAACGCAGTAAAAACATGGGTGCTAGTTACAAAACGTGATATATTTAACACATAGCAAGAGGGGCTATACTTTTACCTGGTTGGAAATCACCCTTCGGCACCGTCTTGCGCTTGAAGAAGACCCACGGCTTGAGCTTCTCCCCGTCGGCCGTGCACGCCAACATGACGGTCAGGCGTTCCTTCCGGTACCCCGCGCTCCTGATGGGCACCAAGCGAACACCCGTTTGGTCTACAGTGGTGGTGGCGGGCATCTCCAGCCACAGCGGCGTCTGGTCGGCATTGATAATCCAGCGGGTGTACAGGCGGAAACGTTAAAATAGGTAGTATCTCGAAAGTCCGTCGCGCGACCAATACTCCACACCGTCATCGTAGTCGCCGCCCGGGGCACCCTCGGGAAACACATATGCGGTGGTGCCGGCCTTGGTGCCAGTGTCGGTGCCAGCCTCGGTGTCGGCTTGCTCGTCGTCAGCACCCGCCGCAGATTCGTCCCACGCACAATCTTGTGGCTGGCCCCATCGTGGTGTCGGGGCCGGAGCTTCAACGTACTTGTCAGGGGCCTTGTTGCTTTCTGGTTCCGACAGGTACTCGTCGAACGCCAACGGGAGCGGGAGCGTGAGCACGGGAGGATTTGAAGGGCCTGCATATACGGGCGGATTCGGAGGAGCCGGAGGAGCTGGCGGTGCAGGAGGCACAGGAGGAGATGGCGGCGCAGGTGGCGCGGGAGGGTGTGGTGGCTCAGGGGGCTCTGGTGGGACACAGCTATACCAGCCGTCCTCGGTAACTCGCCAGGCGGGCCTAGGCTTTTTCTTGAAAAGAAATTTCGTGCCGGTAAAGTCCGCCATGGCTTTCACGGCTCCTGACGTGCTGCGCTGGCAGGGCATATTTGTGCCCCTTCTGGAGGCATCGGATGAGATGGACCTGTCTGGTAACGCATGACAACCTGGTTGGGCCGCACGGCAGGTTTCAAGTCAGCGTTGGCAGATGCAATGGTTCGGGACATGCTCTGTGCGGTGGGAAATCGAGTTGCTGCTGTTTTCGCTTGCTTTGTGAGAATTGAGGAATGGAAGAAGGAAGGTCTTGCACTAGCAGCAGTTGGCATACATATAGGAAACCCTAATTGGGTTGTACTCGCTATAGAGTACCCCACTGCAGGCTAGACAATTATAACATTCTGACACACCCCCATAGCCAAAGTGGGGTGTAATCAGCACAATGAGCAAGCATAGTAATAGTCCACAATTATAAGCAAAGCTAGAGGTAATCACCGAGGGCAAGTGTGGAGGAGGAGGGACTATGAGAGGAGAGAAGGTAGTGGGCGGCAGCTGAAGCTGCTGGCACACGGCGCAACTGGAGCAACTGGCACACGGGCAACTGGAGCAACTGGCACACTGGCAACTGGAGCAACTGGCACACGGGCTACTGGAGTAACTGGCTCCGCGGCTAACTCTGAGCGGCAGGAGCAACGGACTCAAGGGCGACTGGAGCAACTGGCTCACGAGCGACTGGCGCAACGGGCTTACGGGCGACTGGCGCAACGGTCTCACGGGCGACTGGAGCTGCGGGCTTCACGGCGGCCACCCCCCTTCAACCTCCCCAAACTATCCCACCCCCCCTTTCACACACCCCCTGCTACACCCTAGGTTCACTCACACCCCACCCCCTAGCACCACTCCGTCGACTCCCACACACCCACCCCCCTCAGCGGCAGCTGCAGCAGTGGGAGACAGAGGAGGAGGAGGAGCAGGGGAGACCACACACCTCCACCCCCTACTCGCCACCCCCAGAACCTAACACAGGGCAGGGCGGGACGGCGGGTAGGGAGGTTACGGGGGGGGGGGGGGGGGGGGGGGGGCGACGCGCGGCCTCCCAGGGCGCCAAAACAGGCGGCAGAAGGGGCGACGCTCGCCCCCCCCCCCCCCCCGCGCGCGGCCCTCTCAGGTCGCCTCGACAGGCGACGGGAAAAGAGGGGGGGGCGGTGCACGGGTCCCCGACGCGCCGCGACAGGCGACGGAGCATGGCCGGGGCGGGGCCGGGGCAGGGTTGAGGCAGGGCCGAAAGGGGCGGCGACAAGGCCACAAGGGGCGGCGACGGGGCCGCTGGAGGCGGCGACGGGGCCGATAGGGGCGGCGACGGGGCCGCTAGGGGCGGCGACGGGGCCGCCGGAGGCGGCGACGAGGCCGATAGGGGCGGCGACGGGGCCGCTAGGGGCGGCGACGGGGCCGCTGGAGGCGGCGACGGGGCCGATAGGGGCGGCGACGGGGCCGCGAAGGGCGGTGACGGGGCCGCTAGGGGCGGCGACGGGGCCGCGAAGAGGCCGCGAGGGGCCTCGAAGGGCGGCAACGGGGCCGCGAAGGGCGGCGATGGGGCCGCTAGGAGCGGCAACGGGGCCGCTAAGGGCGGCGACGGGGCCGCTAGGGGCGGCGACGGGGCTGCGAAGGGGCCGCGAGGGGCCTGGGAGGGCGGCAACGGGGCCGCGAAGGGGCCGCGAGGGGCCTAGGAGGGCGGCGACGGGGCCGCAAGAGGTGGCGACGGGGCCGCTAAGGGTGGCGCGAGGGGCCGTGAGAGGGGCCTCTAAGGGCGGCGCAACGGGTCGCGAAGGGGAGGGCGGCACACAGGGCGCGCCTCGGTCAGGGGCGACTCGATCTCAGGGCAGGAAAAAAAAAAATCAGTGGTGGGCCCTAGGAAAAGGTCCAGGAGGGAACCAGCTCTATACCATGTGAGAATTGAGGAATGGAAGAAGGAAGGTCTTGCACTAGCAGCAGTTGGCATACATATAGGAAACCCTAATTGGGTTGTACTCGCTATAGAGTACCCCACTGCAGGCTAGACAATTATAACATTCTGACATGCTTTTCATGCACGACCCCACGTGATTGGTTCACAGTCGTGT